AAGTGGGTGAAGGGAGACGCCAGACAGGGCAAGATATGACAAAATAATAATTTATAAATTATCAAGGGCTCATGAGGGAGGGGGGAGTGGGGAGGGAAGGGAAAAAATGGGGAGCTGATGCCAGAGTCTTAAATGGAGTGCAAATGTTTTGAGAATGATGAGGACAATGAATGTATAAATGTGCTTTACACAATTGATGTATGTATGGATTGTGATAGTTGTATGAGCCCCTAACAAAACGATTAAAAAAAAACAACTCTCAAACAAGCAAAAAAAAATCAGCCCGGGTCAGGGTTGGAGAATGAGCCGAGAACCAGACCCTGCAGAGGCTGACGCCCAAGGAGGGATTTCTGATTTGGGGTTCAAGCAATGGGCGATCACGGGTTTCTGAGCAGGGGCAGCACACCATCAGAAAAGTCCACGGTGGCTCTAGAATCTAGAAATTGGACCCACCGTTGACAGAGGAGTTTAAGAATTCTCTCTCCTAAGATCACAGTGATTAGACAAAAGTTGAAGAGAGTTACTAATTTGATAACCTGAAAACAACATATGATTTGTGTCTTTGTGGTTATGTTGCGCACTCAGAGAAGGCACAGCTCACAACTCCCCTGGCAAGGAAGTCTGCTGGGGAGGAATATTTCTCAAAACCCAACACAAAGAAACAAACTCACTGCCATCAAGTTGTTGCCAACCCACAGGGACCCTGTAGGGCAGGGGAGAACTCCCCGTGCGGAAATCCCCCAACACTAAGACGCCTTGTCTGTCTCCTGAGGAGCAGCTGGTAGTTTCGAACTGCTGACCTTGGAGAAGCAGCCCAACACATACCTAGGGGAGGTGAGGGAAAATGGAGAGTTAATAATGATGAGTACAAGAATAAAGAAAATGTCCTAAAGCTGATTGTGATGATGATTGTACAATCCCTCTTGATTGTGACTGAACCACTAAGTTATGATATGTGGATCATATACCACTAAAAATGTCAAACAAATAAATAAAATGTAGACGTTGTTGTGTTGGCCAATGTGTTGCTGGGTATGTGTCCACTATAATTTTTTAAAATACAGTTTAAAAAAAAACTTCCAAGGAAAGTGACTGAAATTTGGGGTGCAGATGAGATTTCCATTCAGGGATGTTTGCCGTTGCTGGCTCCGACTCAGAGCGACCGTCTGCACACACAGCACAAGGACACAGTGGCTGGTCCTGCGCCACCCTCGCACTTGTCCTTCTGTCTGCGCCTGACCATGGATGAGGTGCCCCCAAGGAAGCCCTGTTTGCCGTTTTTACCCTGACAGTACCTACCCCACAGTGACTGGAAAAGTAGGCAGGAAGAGGGATGGACAAAAAAGGCAACCCAGAGCTACCAGAAATCATTAAGAATTGAAGCAAACGCAGGGGAGTGGGGTTGAATAACTTAGATTACTGATGTAATCCTCTGCCTCCCTCTGTACAGTATACCAAAAAAAAAAAAACCACCACATGGATTTTTAAAAGAATGCTTTAAAATAGTTGCCTCATTTTCTGGCCTCATCGCAAAGCATAGCAACCTCAACACTACCGGGTGCAAAGTTAAACCTTCTGTTTTATTTACCCAGTGCTTTGAACTCTAGATTCTTAGGGAGCATACAATGTAGTCTTATATTTGTTTCTAGGGCTAAATTTAGCTCTTCTTCCATAAAGGGGGGTGGAGGAAGAGAGGAATTAAGACTAAATTACTCTAAGAGACACAATTGCACTGAATTTTTGCAAGTTTTCAATATGCATGTCCATGAAGTCAGTAATTCCACTTCTAGATATTTCCCACAAATAGGCCATGTATTTGTTTTTGTTTTGTTTGTTTTAAAATCATTTTATTGGGGGCTTGTACAACTCTTATCACAATCCATACATCTATCCCTTGTGTCAAGCACATTTGTACCACCATCATTTTCAAAACATTTTCTTTCTACTTGAGCCCTTGGTATCAGCTTCTCATTTTTCCCTCCCTTCCCCCCTCCCTCCCCGATGAACCCTTGATAAATTATAAATTATTATTATTTTTTCATGTCTTACACTGACCAATGTCTCCCTTCACCCACTTTTCTGTTGTCCATCCCCCTGGGAGGGGGTTATAGATAGATCATTATGATCGGTTCTCCCTGTCTCCCCTCACCTTCCCCTTCCCCTCCTGGTATGGCTACTCTTAATATTGGTCCTGAGGGATTTATCTGCCCTGGATTCCCTGTGTTTCCAGTACATGCTTTGGTCAAGCCGGATTTGTAAGGTAGAATTGAGGTCATGATAGTGGGTGGGAGGAAACATTAAAGAACTAGAGGAAAGCTGTATGTTTCATCAGTGCTATACTGCACCCTAGCTGGCTCGTCTCCTTTCCGTAGGCAGTATATTTGTATGGATGCGCACAGAACGGAGGAGCCCTATTGGAGCTGGGAGTTAAGCGCTGAGCAACTAATGGGTAGGTCAGCAGTTCAATACCACTAACCACTCCATGGGAGGAAAATTAGGCAGCTTGATCCTTTCAGCAGTTCTACTCTGCCCTCTAGATCCCTATTTTAAGTCAGAATTGACTGCAGGGCAGCTGGGTTTTGTTTGGTCCATAAAATGATACTCACTGCTACAGCATTCAAAACCGTGAAAACTGAAAATGACCTCAATGTCTATGCACCAACCAGGGTTCTCAACCTTCCTAATGCGGCGACCCTTTCATGCAGTTCCTCAAGCTGTGAGGACGCTCCAACCATAAAATTATTTTCGTAGCTACTTCATAACTGTCATTTTGCTGCTGTTATGAATTGGGCGACCCTGTGAAAGGGGCGTTGGACCCCCAAAGGGGTCGCGACCCACAGGTTGAGAATCGCTAATACAATTCCCATATTACCGATGGTTTTTAAATGAGATTGGCCTCTTTATATATCACGCCACGAAATGATGCCCAAAGCAGATTCCAAAACAATATTCCAGAACGCTCGCACTACGGTTTTCGAAGACTTGGGTACAGAAAAATTCCTGGGGGCGTCCACATAAACGATACTGAGTTGAAACTTGAAGGCTTCGTTTCTATTTTATACTTTTGTTTGCATTTTTTAATAAGCCTGCAACACTTGCGTGATTTTTTTTAACCTGACACAAAAGCATGCAAAAAAAGACCACGTAAATCATTCGCCTGGGAGGGTCAAGGTAGGGGGTGAAATCCATCCCTGTGCTGAAGCCCCGAGGAACCCCTGAGTTAGTCCGAAGCCGTAGTAAGCGAGCACAGAGCCCTGTTGGGTGTCCTTTCTGGGGAGAAAGCTGGCGAAAGAGCTATCACACTTGCCTCAATTGCCTCTGCTGCGCTGGATGCTCGGACAACGAAGAAGCCGCTTCAGGTGGCGCGGTCCTGGCTGGGCTCCGAGCCGAGGAGTCGGCGCGGGGCGCGGGGCGCAGCCACGAGCCCGGCCGGGACGCACCCACGCTGCCCGCTGCCGGCGGCAGACTCAGCCTGCCCTCTGCCTGCGCGCGGGTGTGCCCCAGCGCGCCTCCCCAGCTGCCCCCGCCCCTTCGCCCCAGCTCCCGGCTTTCGTTTTCCACCAAAAGGAAAGTGAAACTCAGCGGGAGGCCGGCGGCAGGGCGGGGGGTGGGGGGGATTGACGCTGCGGTGGGGGGAGGCCCGCGCTTGCAGTCACCTAGGGGAAACGGTGAGAGCCGCCGCAGCAGATTGTGTATTGGCATTGTGTATTTTAGCATTTAAAGATAGCCACTCTGATTTGAATACGTGCCTCTTCTTTGGGCCTTGCAAAATCTTTGCAGGTCGGATGCTTCTTACAATCGGTTGGCATTTCCTAGAATAAACGGCATATTTGCTTTCGATACGATCATTCCATTAAGAGGGTAACATAAAGCCGATGGCTGGTAGATTGAATGATTTGAGGTCCGTCCTCCTGCAGCATGAAGGTCCGTATCCTGGCCATCCTGCTCTGCAGAGCCAGCGTGTGGCCGGAGAGTAGGTACCGTTTTTTTAAGTAGCTGTGGGTTTGGAAATTGGAAAATAGTCTTGTGGCTTCATGATTTTCAATAGATAGAGAAAGAGAGATAGGTAAATAACTGTAAAGATAGGCGGGTGGTGTAGAATGAGGAGGGGTCACATTTAAACCTAACATTTACTGCTATCAATAAAAGGCCAGACTTGATACTAAGCTCTAAGCCTAACTGAATGTAGCCAACAACCTCTTGATGCAGATCCTCTTTCTAGCCGAAATCTTTTGGACCAATTCAAAACCCACTGCCATCCCTGATTCCGACCCCTAAGGGCCAGTAGGGCAGAGTGGAAGTGCCCCTTGAGTTTCTGAGACTGCAACTCTTTATGAGAGCAGAAAGCCTCATCTTTCTTCAGTATTGTGTGCTGTGGATTTGAACTGCTGATCAAGCAGTCAGCAGTCCAAGGAGGAACTCACTATGCCACCAAGAGGTTAAATGACTTCGCCAATTTCGTGCAAGACTGGAAATGATGGAGCCAAGATTCCAAAGCCTCTACCTCTAGCCTTACTTTCAATGCTCAGTGGAAAAGAAGAGATCGGTGTCCTCAGGGGCTCACCAGCCGGGCATGCAAACAAATATAAGGCTAAGGAATCTGTGACATGCTCCCATTAAATGCTTGGGGTGGAGGGTG